AGGATTTGCCAAAGTAAATGCCATAGAGGTGATAATTGGCATTAAAATCTCAAAATTGTTAAAACATAAATAGAAGTAACTAAAATCTGTAGTAGAGCTTTTCAGTGATAATTATAGGTATACTAGAGGTCCAGTGCACAAAATTCATGCATGGGAAGTGTGTCCTTCTGCCCAGCCTATACCCTTTCCAATCTGGGACTCTCGAAGGATGTCCATCTATTAGGATAGGGCCTAAACGGGCATTCGGACATCCCTCTCACAATCCAGGATTGCTGGCTCCCAACTGCTCGCCTGCCTGCCTTCCTGATTGCCCCTAATCGCTTCTGCCTGCCAGACTGATTACCTCCTAACCACTCCCATGCCAGCCTGATTGATGTCTATCTGTTCGCCTGCTAGCCTGTTTGCCTCTAACTGCCCTTCTCTGCACGTCTGGTCTTCCCTAACTGCCCTCCCTTGCAGGCTTGATCACTCCCAACTGCACTTCCATACAGGCCTGATGGTCGCCCTCAACTGCCCTCCCTTAGAGGCCTGGTCCCTCCCAACTGCCCTACCCTGCTGGCCATCTTGTGGCAGCCATCTTGTGTCCACATGGGGGCAGCCATCTTGTGTGTTGGAGTGATGGTGAATTTACATATTACTACTTTATTAGCGAGGATAGAGGCCTGGTTCACAGGTGGGGGACAGCTGGTTTGCCCTGAAAGATGTCCCAGATCAGGGTGGGGGTTTCTTTGGGGCGTGGAGCGGCTTGGGCAAGGTGACTCAGTTTGGACATTAAATGTTGTGCTATGACTTTTCTCCTTATGCAGAGTATCTGTTTGATTCCTGGCTTGCTGCCAGCCTGTGCATGGTCCATGCTTATGAGTTCAGGATCTATGACAATGTGAATAAGTCAGAATACATGAATATATGAATTCACTGATATTAATGTTAAACTTCATGGAAAAAATAGTCCTTTGAATCTTTGGTGGTTAGAAATTAAAAACCTTAAATCATGTGCAATAAACAGTAAATAAAGTTATACTGAACGACAAAAAAAAAAAAAAAAAAATACATTAGGGGCCAGGAAATGTTCAAAGAACTGGGGAATCATTCCCAAATCAGGAAGGGAGGTCACAGGGTATATATTATTGCTATGAATACAGTATTTCCTACTACTTACAACATATACAATGTAATGTATTAGATGCCTTCCTATCGCATGAAGTATGTATTCTCATAGAGTAATACTGGTACATATGTTATAGTTATAGCAGTATGTCATATCCTATCATTATTTATAAAAGGGTAATATGCTAATTATACCATGAGACCTCCCAGACGTCCTTCCGGACAAAGCCATGGTGGCAGGGCTGAGGCAGAGGCGGTTAGGAGTGATAAGGCTGGTGGGGAGGCAGTTGGGAGTGAGCAGACTGGCAGAGGGGACCAGTTGGGGGTGAGCAGGCCAGCAGGCAGAGTGGTTAGGGGTGATCAAGCAGGCAGGCAGGTGAGCTGTTAGGAGCCAGCAGTCCCGGGTTGAGAGGCCAATATAAACCTGATACTAAAACCTGGCAAATACCACATACATATACATACATACATACACACACACACACACACAAAAAAAAATCCAGACCAGTATCCCTGATACAGATACAAAAATCCAAAACAAAATACTAGCAAATCAAATACAATAGTACATCAAAAAAATAATACATCACAATCAAGTGGGATTCATTCCAGAGGCAAAAGAAGGATTCAACATTTGCAAATCAATCAACATAATACACATAACCAAATAAAGGATAAAAATCATATAATTTCATCAATAGATGCAGAAAAAGCATTTAATAAGGCCCAACATTCATTTATGATGAAAACACTCAATAAAATAGGAATAGAAGCAGTATACAGATTTAATGCAACTCCCATCAAAATCCCAATGTCATTTTAAAAAATATATATATTTTATTGATTTTTTTACAGAGAGGAAGAGAGAGGAATAGAAACATCGATGAGAGAGAGTCATCGATCAGCTGCCTCTTGCACACCCCCTACTGGGGATGTGTCCGCAACCAAGGTACATGCCCTTGACCGGAATCGAACCTGGGACCTTTCAGTCCGCAGGCTGACGCTCTATCCACTGAGCCAAACCAGTTTCGGCCCCAATGTCATTTTTAAAAGAAAAAGAATGAATGAGAAATCATTAGATTTGTTTGTACTACAAAAGACCCCGAATAGCCAAAGCAATCCTGAGAAAAAAAGAAAGAAGCACGCTACCTGGCTTCAATTATACTATAGACCTAAAATAATCAATACAGCATGGTACTGGCAGAGAAACAAAAACAGATAAATGGAACAGAATAGAGAGCTATAAAACTACAAATATATGGATAGATAATTTTCAACAACGGAACCAGAAATGTACACTGTGGTACAGATATCTCTTCAATAAATGGTCTAGAAAAACTGGAAAGCCACATGCAAACAAATAACAGTGTGTCCCCATGTACAAAAAGAAATTAAAAATGGGGACACACTGACATGTACAAAAAGGAATTAAAAATGGGACACCCTGACATGTACAAAAAGGAATTAAAAATGGGTCAAAGACAAAATATAAAACCCGAAACAATAAGTTACATAGAAGAAAATATAGATATCAAACTTATGACCTGTCTTATAGAGAATATTTTAAGAACTTGATTCCAAAGGCAAGGGAAGCAAAGTAAAAAATAAATGAATGGGACTATATAAAACTAGAAAGCTTATGAACAGCAAAAGAAATGAACAACAAAACAAAGAGGCAGCCAACCTGACAGGAGATGATATTTGCAAACAGTAGCTCCAACAAAGGTTTAATTTCCAAAATATATGAAGAACTCATAAAACTCAACACCAAATAATCCAATCAAAAAGTGGGCAGAGGACCTAAAAATACACCTCTTCCAAGAAGACATACAAACAGCCAATAGATATATGAAAAGATGTTCAACTTCACTGGCAATTAGGAAATATAAATTAAAACTTCAGTGAGATACCACCTGTTAGAGTGAGCATTATTAACAAGACAAACAATAACAAGTGTGGGAGAGGTTGTGGAAAAAAGGAACCCTCATTCACTGCTGGTGGAAATTGACTGGTGCAACCACTATGGAAAGCAGTCTGGTGATTCCTCAAAAAATTAAGAATATAGCTATCATATGACCCAACAATCCCACTCCTGGGTATATACCCAAAAAACTGTAAATCATGTATTTGCAAAGATATCTGCATCCCTATGTTCATTGCAGCATTATTCATGGTGGCCAAGACATGGAAACAACCAATGTGCCCTGAAATAGAGGACTGGATAAAGAAGTTGTGGTACATATACGCTATGAAATACTACTCAGCCATAAAAAAAAATGAAATAGCACCATTTGCAACAACATGGATGGACCTTGAGAACATTATGCTAAGTAAAACAAGTCACTCAAAAAAAGCTAAGAACCATATGATTTCACTCATATGTAGGATATAAAACTAAAACTTATGAACACCAACAGCAGTGTGGTGGTTGCCAGAGGAAGGAAGTCGGGGGGGGGGGGGGGGGGGGGAGAGGATCTTAATATATGCTGACAGATTTGCCTCTGGGTGTTGGGTACACGACACAATATAAGATCTTATAAAATAAAAATCCATACATGAAAGCTCTATGTTCATTTTGACCAATATCACCCCAATGAATTTAATAAGTAAATAAATAAATAAATAAATAAATAAATAAATAAATAAATAAAAACAGGCCACAAAGGCACAAAGTATCGAGTTACACAAGCCCCAGTCAATACAGCAGGATCTGTTTGGACTTTTCCAACTCTTTGATCAGGTGTTCTAAGTATACACACACTGATTTTTTTAAGTTAAGGTTTTAAAATGGGCTTCCCACATGGTTATCGTGATTAGCCTTTTCTATTAACTCAAAATTTGAAAAGGCCTGGGCCTTGTTTATAAATAATTGCCAAGCTAAAGTAATAGTTTCCATATCTTTTTTAATCTTGCTTTTTACCCTTTATGAAAAGTTATTTTTAAACAAGTTATAAATTATAAGTGCACAGGACAGAAAACAGGATAGATGACCACCCAAATAGTCATGATGTTGGTCATTTTATGTAAAAGCACAAAAAAAGAGGGACAGAGATGGACTTTTTAAAAAGAATAATGCCACATTTGTAATATTATACAAAATATCCAGAAGACATAGCAGGCAAAATAGATTTACAATTCTGAGAAACAAATGAAAAAGAGTACTTCTGAAAGTGACAAATTCTTTGATTTTTCAGTACCCATTAGAAAAATTTACAATTTTAATGTATTACTTTGGTTAACTTTCTCATTCAGATCTAAATTAGATGTTTTATATAACTATAAAAACTTACATTATAGGGATAAGCCTTTAAATATATTTTAAATAAATTACAAAAATGAATATTTGGTCTCTTTAGTAATAAATATATAATTGATGAAATGGATAGTACATCTGACTTCATACTCTTTATATAAAGCTTATGAAAAGCACATACAAAAATACTTCCCCAACCAACTTGGGTATGTAATAAAGAAAATGTTGGATTTATTAATCGTATACATTTATTGCTACCATCAGTAACCTATATCATTCCTCTAGAAATATGGAGATATTTTTGTCTTTTTACTCATTTTTGTTTTGTCACATAACTTAAAGATGAAAAATCACTTTGAATTCTCTCATAATTACGCTTTCAAGATCCTAACACAACAAGAACATCTTTTAGATATCTACATAGAATTATTTACATGACAGGATTGTTAATAGCGTCTAAAAGGTAAAACAGGAATTACAGAATGTTCCATATTAAAAGCCAATATTCTATTTGAAGTCTGCACCCTAAATTGCCATATTCTTTTCCTTCCACTGATACCTAGGGTTAGGCTTCATACCATGATTCTACTTAAGCTGATTGAAAAAAAGCCAAAGACCAGGGATGGACAGGATACCTTACCTGTATGATGTCTGGTCACAGCACTCTCATATAGAGGGATGCCTTCACCCACATTGTTAAATGCTTTCAAGGTAATCACATAATGAGAGCTGGGATCTGAAGGAAAGAAACGAGTTAAAACACTTAAAAAATTCTCACTACAGATTTTTAAAAGTTCACGGGTGACTGTACATGATCTTAATTGCAGAGGAAACCAGGAGGGAAGATTTAAGAAATTTTATGTGAGATTACTAATATTTTGGGGTGTGAGATAGCTCTATAAACAGTACTATAGTCCCCATAGGAGACACGTTTTAAGACCTCCAGTGGATGTCTGAAAGTAGTATCAAACCCTATATATTCTATGTTTTTCCCTATGCATACATACTTATGATAAAATTTAATTTATAACCCAAACCGGTTTGGCTCAGTGGAAAGAGCATCGGCCTGTGACTAAAAGGTCCCAGGTTTGATTCTGGTCCAGGGCATGTACCTTGGTTGCAGGCACATCTCTTGTGGGGGGGGTGTAGAAGGCAGCTGGTTGATGTTTCTCTCTCATCAATGTTTCTAACTCTCTATTCCTCTCCCTTCCTCTCTATAGAAAATCAATAAAATATATTTAAAAAAATTAATTTATAAATTAGGCACTATAAGAGATTAACAACAATAACAATAAAATAGAATTGTAACAATGTACTATAATAAATGTTATATAAATGTTATACCTCTCTGTCTCTGATAAAAATCTGATAACTGAGTTGGCTAAGTGACTAACAAGCAGGTAGCATACTCAGTATGGTTACATCCCGGGGGGAGACAGAATGGGATGGCTTGAGATTTCATCACACTAGTAAAAATAATGTGCAATTTAAAACTGATAATAAATTGTTTATTTCTGGAATTCTTCATTTAGTATTTTTAGGCATTAGTTGTCTGTGGATAAAACCACAGAAACTGAAACAGTGGATAAGGGGAAACTTATTCACGTTGCATGGTAGAAAAACTGTCTGGAGTTATTATCAGAAGTGAGGTTGGCTGTGCTTAAATTCTCTCAAGTTAGTACCAGGAGTGCATGTAGCTGTGCCTGAATTCTCTCTTGGACTCAACTAGTGGGGCTTGGATTAGAATGAGTATGTAAGTATTTCATTTGAAATTAAACAAACCCCTTTCTTTCTCAGAAAGAGGACAGCAACTACAATAGCCAACGTAGAGAACTAGGAGAAAAACCATTAATTCAGAAACTGCTGAATGTCTTTAACTCTTAAGGTGCGGGGGCGGGGACTCCAAATCTGGGAAGTGCCTAATTTCATCTAGCCTTCCTGTATACTTCTTGGCAGAATAAGATATGGCTCAGGATTATGACTGGCTTGGAGATGCTGCTGCAGGAAATGAGACTAAAAGAAACACTTCCTCCAGGTGGACCATACAAAATACTGCCAGTTAAGATTCTATGAAGAGTTGGTATTATATAGTTGGAATAGCATTCATTTTCCTATTTGATGAGGTAAATTAAGATGACTCTACTTCATAACATTCCTGATCCAGGAAAATTTAGGACTAGTAACTTCAAAAGTCCAGTCAGAAATGAAAACTTGAGCCCTGGCCTGTGTTACTCAGTGGTTAGGGCGTCATCAGCGTGTGTACCAAAGGGCAAGTATTTGAGTTGCAGGTTTGATCCCAGCCTCAGTGGGATCACCTGTGGGAGGCAATCAATCCATGTTTCTCTCTCATATCAATGTCTCTCTCTCTCACTCCCCCCACCCTCTTCCTTTCTCTCTCTCTAAAAATCAATGGGAAAATATCCTCGGGTGAAGAATGAAAATAAATAAGTGAAAAGGTGTGCCCCACTGAAGTGTTGCAGGGTGAGAAGCTGACCCATATCACTCACTTCTAGCAAAGTTGGGCAGTTTTCCAAAGTGGCCACACTTCAAGTAGTCTGCATTACTTAAAAAGCTTAAAACAGCTGGTTTATTATTTTATCCTTTCTTATGGCTGAGTAGTATTTCATTACATACCAGAGGCCTGGTGCACGAAATTTATGCACAGGGGTGCGGGGTGCAGTTCCCTCAGCCCAGCCTGCACACTCTCCAATCTGGGACATCCCTCTACAATCCAGGACTGCTGGCTCCCAACTGCTCACCTGCCTGCTTTCCTGATCAGCCCCTAACCACTTCTGCCTGCCAGCGTGATCATCTCCTAACCACTTCTGCCTGCCAGCCTGATCACCTCCTAACCTCTTCTGCCTGCCTGCCTGATGACCCCCTAACCACTTCTGTCTGCCAGCCTGATCACCCCCTAACCACTGCCCTGCTAGCCTGATTGCTAACTGCCCCCCCCTGCCAGCCTATTTGCCCCCAACTTCCCTCCTCTGCCAGTCTGATTAACTCTAATTGCCCTCCCCTGCAGGGTTGATCGCCTCCAACTGCCCGCCCTTGCAGGCCTGGTCCCCCCAACTACCTTCCCCTGCTAGCCATCTTGTGGTGGCCATCCTGTGTCCACATGGGGCAGGATCTTTGACCACAAGGGGGCAGCTATCTTGATCTTGTGTGTTGGAGTGATGATCAATCTGCATATTACTTTTATTAGATAGGATAAAGGCCTGGTACATGGGTGGGGGCCAGCTGATTTGCCCTGAAGGGTATCCCAGATCAGGGTGGGGGTTCCCTTGGCATGGGGTGACCTGGGCAAAGGGCCTGTGGTGGTTTACAGGCCAACCATGCCCTCCCAGCGACCCAAGCAGAGGCCCTGGTATCTGGGATTTATTTACGTTTTCCAATTGACACTTTGTAGTGTGGAGCAAAACTAACCTTCTGCTCAGTCCATGGCAGCAGCCATTTCTGTTGGGGTTTATTAACCTTCTATAATTGAAACTTTGTAACATGGCATGGAGGTCTAGGCCATTCAGGGTAGGTGGAAAGCTTGGCTTCCTCCGTCGCTGAAGGCAACCCTAGCCTGCTCTCTCCAGCTCCCTGGCTGCTGCCATTTTTCTTGGGATTTATCTTCTATAATTAAAACTTTGTATCCTTGAGTGGAGACCTGGGCTGGCCAGGGTGTGTGGAAAGCTTGGCTTCCTTCCATAGCCAGAGAAACCCCAGCCTCCCTCCTGCTCTCTGTGGTGGCAGCCATCTTGGTTGGGATTAATTTGCATACTCACTCTGATTGGCTGGTGGGCATGGCTTGTGGTGTAGCAGAGTGATAGTTAATTTGCATATTACTCTTTTATTAGGATATGGAGATATATATATATATATATATATGGCCCAGTGCATGATCTGGCCAGCCTGGCTGGGGGAGGGGACATGGGCGATTGGCTGGCCTGCCTGATAGTTCAACTACTGATTGAGGAAACAATTTGCATACTGCCTTTTATTATATTGGATATGTATCACATTCTTTATCCAGTCCTCTATCATAGGGCACTTTGAATAAAATAGCATCATTTGCAACAACATGAATGGACCTTGAGAACATTATGCTAAGTGAAATAAGTCAGTCAGAAAAAGGTAAGAACCATATGATTTCACTCATATTTGGGATATAAAACTGAAACTCATGAACACAAACAGCAGTGTGGTGGTTGCCAGAGGGAAGGGGAAAAGGGGTCCTAATATAAGGTGACAGGAGAATATTTGACTTTGGGTGGTGAGCACACAGTGCAATATAACACAGAAACCCACATGAGAAACCTATGTGTTCATGCTGACCAATGTCATCCCACCCCAATCAATTAAAAAAAAAAAAAATAGCTGCGTTGCTGATGGCCCATTCTTTAGATACTAATGGGGAATATATACTAGTAAAGGCACTTGGTCTCCCAATGGCAGAAAGAATTGACAACAAATGGAATCAACAGGACTCAGTACTTGATTGGTGAGAAAAAGGAAAAGATGATAGTTTGGGTAACGTGGTAGATGATAAAGTCCTTCACAGAGATTGGGGACAGAGGCAGAGTAACCATAGTAGACATTTTCAAGCCCACATTCTATTCCCACTCTTCCCTATGTGTTTTCACTCTCATTTCCTTAGCTTGGGTTAGCATGTATGTGCCATCAAATGAAAAATTACATTTCTAGGCCAGACTTTTCTTCTGATCATCAAACCTTAAGGTTAAACCTTCTGACATCTCCAGTTGGATGTCTCAAATCTCTCTCTCCCCACTTCAGATCAACCCACGTGTTTCCTAGTTCATAAATAGCACTTCTATGCTCCCTGTTGCTCAAGTCAGAAACCTGGGAGTTATTAAGACCTCTCTCTCCCCCCTTCCCTGTTATGCAAATAATCAAATACTACAATCAAGTTTTATTGATTATACCCACTGCCTTGATCTGCATGCTCCATCTCTCAGTTCACTGAGCACTATATGCCTAACAATGGGCCTTAACATGTGCAGCTGTTCTCTATGCTAGGGACACAGGCCAACTTTCTTCTTTACCTAGATAATGCCTACTCATCTAAAAAGACGCATCCCTTTAAAACTGGATTAGCCTCTCTAATTGACACACCATTTCTCTTCCTTAGCAATCTAACAATTTCCATTATTTAAAATTATATTTCTAATAATTCGGATTATGTTTGGTTGATTCTCTGCTCAATCTTTAACACAATGTCTGGGATATTGTAGGAGTTCATTAAATATTTGCTGATTGATCAGAAGATTTGTGGGAAAGGATACTAACTTTAATTATGATAAAGTAAGGGCTATATCCCAGTGCAGACACCCAGTAAGGAGATGTTTATATGAACTTGAAACTGAAGAGAGAGCTCTAGTTTGCCTAATAAATGAATTCCTAAATGTACTTCATTCTGACTTTTTGATCAACATTATATGCATCTTAGATCTATCAGTGTTTACTTATACAGCTCAAGCTCATTTTACTTTATGCCAAATTAATTTTTTTTGCTACTTGTCATGTGTATTCTCTTTTCTAATGAAGTCTGTTCACTCTCTACAGCACACGAAGTACATCTTATCATTTCATTTTCAAACACTGCTCTGTTTTTCAAGTTCAAGTTAAGCTTTTTCCCTGACTGCTCTGCTGTGCCTTACTAGTGCTCCCTTCTCCCACCATACTTCACTTCATTCCATTGTTTCTTGGGTGGTACTTTTGTTTTCCTATTAGACTGAAAGCTCCTGAAGGTCTAGGACAGTGGTCGTCAAACTCATCAGTCAACAGAGCCAAATATCAACAGTACAACGATTCAAATTTCTTTTGAGCCAAAAACCAACTTCTGCGCATGGGCCACGAAGTTTCAATCTCACTGTATGTGCGCGTCCACACGCGGTATTTTGTGGAAGAGCCACACTCAAGGGCCAAAGAGCCACATGTAGCTTGCAAGCCGTGGTTTGCCGACCACTGGTCTAGGACCATGAACTGCTTACAATGCAGAGGACTTTCCTTTCAGTAGTTTCATAAAGAAAACAGTAGGCAGAGGGTCAGCACAGAGACACCACCTTATCAGCAGAGCTTTTCTTTTGTTCTCTTACAACTGCCTTATAAGACTTGTCACATTGGGAACACATCCTGGGTTAGCTGTGTTGTTCTTCAAAGGAAAAAAAAAGGCGACTTTGTTTTGAATAAAGCATCAAATTGTTGCTTATTCTCTAGACACCTCATGTTGTTTTATGAAAGATATTTTACAAAAATATGACTTGAGTTAAAACGTTGGTCAGAAAATAATTATTTAATAAAAAAATGAAAATAAATAAAAAACAAAACAAAATAAAAAAAAAAAACCACGTTGGTCAGGGCAGATACTGAATGAAAAGGGAAGTGTGTCAAAGATCTGTATAATGATAATCCAATTTGGAAGAGTAATAACACCTACCAAAATCAAGTTACTTTCTATTATAAAATATTGTTATTTTTCATTTTCTTGCTTTGTAAATCAACTTTGAGGTATAATTAACAGACAGTAAAATGTACCCTTTAAGTATACAGTTTGTTGAGTTTTGACTATAGGCTGGGTGCACAAAATTCATGCAAAGAGCTTGGCCCCCACCACTGTGGCGGCCGCCTCTGCCTTGGCCCCTGCCATGGCGGCAGCTGCCTCTGACTAGGCCCTCTCAGCCCTGGCTTTGTCTGGAAGGTTGTCCAGTCTAATTAGTATTACGCTTGTTTTTATATAAAATGTGTAATCACTATCACAATCAATACATAGATATTTCTAACATGCTTGACTATTCTAGTAATTCTGATTTTTCATATAAATTTTATAATAATAAGTTTACCAATTTCTACAAATAGTGTATTGAGATTTATGTAGGATTGCATTGGGGAGAATGAAATTTTAATTCAAATTTCCAACTGCTTACTGTTAGACCAACTTTGTACCTTGTGACTTGCCAAACTCACTTATAGTTTTAGTAGCCAGGATTTTCCTCAAGATTTTCTATGAATCAGTAGAGTGCTCAAATATTGGTTTCTAAATACCATTTCCCATAAAAGAAAACAGGATTCTTTGGAGAAATGGCTAATTCAAGGGCTAAGGCTAGGAAATACCAGGGTCTGAAAAACTTTGTCAGATGGTCAGAGGAACCAGTTATAAGGAGATTCCCACTAGCTATTTTACTATGAAAGAGGAGGAAATATTTTCCTTATTAAAGAATGCTAATAAATATAGAAGAAATAATGGAATTAGAAAATCACCAATTGTGAAACACCCTAGTGATAATTATTACTAAAGACAGTAACACTAGTAAGTGAAAGTTTGATGACAAATAAAATATTTACAAAGATTCAAGATATCTTTCCCCTACAAGGTCCTTAGTAAATATGAAGAGAAAAATAATAATTTTATAGTAGAGAAATGAGGCAGGTACCATTTAAATCAAGTGATTAAAGTTAACATCACTAGTGATAGGCTCTCCTGTGCCTCCTAAGATGAGGCACTGAAAAGATCACACTGTGTCTATGCGCTGCCTCCCAGAATAACATCAGCTGAATGTAATGAGGAAATATTAAACAAGTTAAATTGAGGGACATTCTGCAAAATATAATGGTCTATACTTTTCCAAAACAACAAAGTCATTAAAGTAAAAAAATACTGAGGAACTCTTTCATATCAAAGAAAATGAATGAGACAATAACAAAATGCAATATGTGATCATGGACAATCCTTTTTTTTTTATCATAAAGCACATTAAAGAGATAACTGGTAAAATATCAATAAAGTCTATAGATATTTTGTCAGTGTTAATTTGCTGATTTTGATAACTGTACTGTGGTTATGTTAGAAAATTTCTTTGTTTTTACAAAACGCACATGAAAGTATTAGTAGGTAGGGAGGCATCATGTCTGCAACTTACCCTCAAATGGTTCAGAGGGAAAACAAGTACATATAGGAAGATACAGACTGATAAAGCACATGTAGAAAAATGTTAACCTTTGGGGAGCTGAGTGAAGGATTAACAGAAATTCTTTTGACTATTTTTCTAAGTTTTCTATAAAAATAAATTACACAGCCGAAACCGGTTTGGCTCAGTGGATAGAGTATTGGTCTGCGGACTGAAAGGTACCGGGTTCGATTCCGGTCAAGGGCATGTACCTTGGTGCGAGCACATCCCCAGTGGGAGGGGGAGGGGGGGGAAGGAGGGAGAGGTGCAAGAGGCAGCTGGTGGATGTATCTCTCTCATCAACGTTTCTAACTCTCCCTCTCAATTCCTCTCTATGTAAAAATCAATAAAATATATTTAAAAAAATAAATTACACAATAAAAAAGTAAAAAAGCAATCACAAGTACAATTACTTCCTTTGCTGAGCATACACACCCAGATTTTCGATGGTGTAATAGCGCTGTTTATAGTCTACTTTGATGGTCTGCGCGTGCGGGCTGCCAATGCCATAACCAATGGCATAACCTCGGACCACAATGTTCTGGTTCTCTGGAGGAGTCCAACTTACTACGATGCTAGTAACAAGTGGGCGGACATGAAGTGAACTAGGTACTTCAGGAACACGAGTTTCTGGAAAGGAAATTAGAAAGGCAAGATGTGGTTCATCTTTCATTAGGATATTTCACCACTTTTGGGGAATGGTGTTCAATCTCCCGCTAAATTATTTGGGGCTAAGTTTTTCCATTATGACCAAGAATTCAAAGAGAATATGTATATACAATAAAATATGTTCAGTGGTTTTACTGCATTCTACGAAGAAAACAAAACCCAAACAGCAGCTTGAAATACTAGACACTGCAACATTAATTTGGAAGGGAAAATAAAGTGATCTAAGAACCTTTATCCAATAGAGAAAAACAAATAAATTGACTTTCAATGGTTATCCATTCCTCTTGGTCTCACATCTGATTCCCAAACTTACCAGGCAGATACACCAACTAATTAGAAGCCTGGTGTAAACAGGTAATCAAGAATCACATTATAGCAATAGTATTATTTACTCCCCTAAGTAATATGATAAGTCAGAAAATATGAATAGAACTACAAACTGATTTAAATGGTGCGAGACCAAGAGGCTTAACCGATGGGAATTTAGAGTATTTTTCAAGGCATAAATTACTATCTTAATTTAAAAAAGAGTAAAACAATACAACAGGTTCCTTTTGTCTTCCAAGTACAGCACCTGTATTTGATAAAGGTACATACACACACCCATATGGACTTAATCATTGAATAAACAGGTGAGAAAAAGGGTAAGATGTCTAGAACAAAGGGAAAAGGGAGACTAATGAAACATAAGCATGATTCATGTGGCTCAGCCTTCCATTTTAGATCATCTACATATTTAATGGCCTTGGTGAAAAACAGACTTAAGGCACCTGTACCTTTTTATTGGTTTTGGTTCTACTTAAACACAGTTATCTAAAAGCCACAAAGGTGGGGAATGAGGGAGATCCATGAAACTTGCTGCATTACAGAAATGACAGTAGTATATATTAAACTTCACAGATTAAAGCAATATATACACCAAATCTGTGGCTTTCCAGCTAGGCTCACTTGACTATAATTAGTACCTTGTCTGTGCCATTGTTCTTACCATCTAAGTCACTTTCAAAAGTTTCAGCAGCCAGCCAGTCAGTAGCCGGGCCTGTGCCATTTACTGTTAGAGCAGCCACTCGAAAATTATATTCAGTCCCCCGATCCAGACCTGAGACCCAAATGGAAAAAAAACACACACACAATACAAGTTGAAACAACAGATTTGGAAAAACAAAATACCAACAATCTCATTAAAGCAAATATCTCATCCACCAACTCAATATACAGCCACTACCTTGATAAAATTTTGGTGAAAGTTAATACCAAACAAGAAATCTTTAAGTACAGAACAGAGGAGCTCCCACCTCTAAAGTAGAGGCTGAAGTCCACACGGTCCAAGAAGAAAAGAGAAATCAGTGAAGCTCTCAGGAGACAACAGGTGTGTGTGTGTGTGTGTGTGTGTGTGTGTGTGTGTGTGTGTTTTAAAAAGAAGCTTGAAAATACTTTAGAAATCATTTAATGCAATCCCTTCATTTTATTAAGGAAGCTAAGGCCAAAAAAGAGGCCAAGGATAATGAAAGTTGTAACCAAAGTCCATTGGTCTCAGAAGACACTAAAGACCAGAAAAGAATGCAAGATGTAACTCCTACCATGTTACCCCTGTTCTCTTAGCCACACCATAATGACAGAAAAAACTTTAAATGTTAAGACAGCCTAGAAATCTAATATTTCTCAGGAGCCTACCAACTCATAATAAATAAAAAAGGAATAATGTCTTTCTATTATGTAACCTTTTATATTTAATATAACCTAATAAAGTACTTGAATTACCAATGAATCAAAGATCCACATGTAAAAGTCTAACCTACAAAGTAGAGCAAGAGTCAACAATATGGTCAGATATTCATGAGTTCTTTTTCTTTTTTTTTTGTTTTGTTAAAATACATATAAAATTTACCATTTTAGCCATTTTCAAGTATACAGTCCACATGCATACATTTGTAGAGCACTTAAATAGTAGATATTGTGATAGGTCTTACTAGGGTTATGAAAAATTATCCTATCTTCCCATATCCAAATATTGGGATCTTTGGCCAGCAACACAGTACAGAAATTGAGAGAGAACTTGGCCAGGATAAGCCCTGGCTCAGTTAATCAATCCTGTCACAGGGTGTGAGAGGAGATGGGAGGTTATGTTCTCTGCAGATCATCTTATTTGCCCACAAGAAAGCAAGAAGCAAAACAGAATGAGAAGCAAAATGACTGTGCCCAAGTCACTTTACCTCCTTGCCTACATGAACCTGAAAGAGCCAGAATGACTTTATACGTACTTATAACTATTAATAGACTACAATCTGGTCTCCTAGGAAACATGGCTCAATTGAGGTTCTGAAAGAATTCAACTGATCAGATTACCATGCCTTTCCCTTTGGGGAGAGTTAGAATGTTAAGAGAGTGAGTTAGCAAGTGAGCAAGAGTGAATAAAAACATACGCAAGGAGAACCACATGTAAAATGGTTAAGAGTTCCTCTCCCACAAAGTAATCAACAGAATTCACAAACTAAAACTAAGGCACACAAATCCTATCTAATAAAAGAATAATATGCAAATTAACCACCACACCCATAAGGCACACCCACCAGCCAATCAGGAGCAAATATGCAAATAAACCCAACCAAGATGGCCATGGCCACAGAGAGCAGGAGGGAGGCTTGGGTTTCCCCCGCAATGGAGGAAGCCAAGCTTTCTTCCTGCCCTTGCTGGCCTAGGCTACAAAGTTTCAATGATAGAAGATACATAAATCCAAACAGAAATGGTGGCAGCCACAGAGCTGGAAAGAGCAGGAGACTAGGGTTGCCCCTGGTGATGGAGGAAGCAAAGCTTTCCATACAACCTGGCTGGCCTTGGCCTCTGCTTAAGGTTACAAAGTTTCAAACATCAGCCCCCAGTCTGAAAGGTCCCAGGTTCGATTCCAGTCAAAGGCACATTCCTTGGTTGTAGTTGGGGCATGTGCAGGAGGCAAGAAATTGATGTGTCTTTCTCACATCGATGTTTCTCTCCCCCTCCCTTTCACTGTCTCTAAAAGTCAATGGAAAAATATCCTTAAGCGAGGATTAACAAAAAGCAACAAAAAGAGAAAAATTGATGTTTATCTTGAAAATGTTATTTTCCTTATACATCAAATGTTGAATTGGAAAAAAAAAAATGGGCAAGGACTGTACTCTATTTTTATGTTATTGGCAACAAGAACAATGCCTGGTATACAGTAAATATCTGCTATTAAATATTCAAAGTAAAACCCTTACAGATGGAAACTGTTACTTAGCTATATTTGGAGTAAAATCAGAAACTGACTTTTAAAAGCATCTGTGAGAAATTTTACAGTAATGTTCTTTCAGTGAGATTTCTCAGCAGCACTCACGGCAGCCATGTTTACTTTCTGCAGAAAGGCGAGGACTGACTCCATGGATACAAACATTCACCTTTTCCTATTTTGAAAGGAGTCAGTCTCATCTATGAGATGAGGGTAAGGAGAAAAGCTTGCTGGATTACTAGAGTACATTTTTACTGTCTGTACACTTTGCTAACAACTAAACTGTGCAGACTCTTCGTTTATATGGTTTTGTTTGAACTTTTTTTCAGATTATAAAAAAACTACATATAACATAAAGAATACAGAAAAACACAAAGAAATAAAACTAAAATATAATCTCATTCAGAAATGGCAGAACATGTAAGAGTGTTTTCAATTAATTTTTTTTTTTTTTTTTTTTTTTTTTTTTTATATTTTTATTGATTTTTCACAGAGAGGAAGGGAGAGAGATACAGAGTTAGAAACATCGATGAGAGAGAGTCATCGATCAGCTGCCTCTTGCACACCCCCTACTGGGAATGTGCCCGCAACCAAGGTACATGCCCTTGACCGGAATCGAACCCGGGACCTTTCAGTTCCCAAGCCGACGCTCTATCCATTGAGCCAAACCGGTTTCGGCAGTTTTCAATTAATTTTTATCAAATTTTTACAAATCCTTTTGAACCATTTTAACTTTGTGCAAGACAACAGCTCCAGGCATTAATCAGACTAGCATAGATACATCTCCCAAGTTTTGGCAATGCCCATAGGAACTCACCTTCAATCAGCTGAGACAGCTGGGTCCCAGGCACCAACATCTCAGTGACATCACTCTTCCGGGAGGCCTTTCTGTAGCGTATCTTGTAGCCAGTAATTTGCCCATTTTGTGTGGCTAGAGGAGGTGGCTGCCAGTGAATCATAATACTCTAGAAAGCATAAGTTTATAGGGAAAATACCAAATATGTTAAAAGCTTGGTCCTATTTTATATATTACTAGGGGCCTGGTGCTCAAAATTCTCAGCCCAGCCTGCACTCTCTCCAATCTGGAACCCCTTGAGGGATGTCTGACTGCCCATTTAGGCCCGATTCCACCAGATATCCCTCTCACAATCCAGGACTGCTGGCTCCCAACTGCTTGCCTGCTTGCCTGTCTAATTGTTCCCAGCCAATCCCTTCCCAGCCTGATCGATGCCTAACTGCTCCCGTGCTGGCCCAATTGCCCCTAACTGCCCTTCCCTGCTAGCCTGGTGGCCCCTAACTGCCTTCCCATGCAGGCCTGCTTGCTCCTAATTGTCCTCCCCTGCAGGTCTGGTCACACCTAACTGCTTTCCCCTGCAGGCCTGGTCACCCTCCCCTGCAACTACCCTCCCTTTTAGGCCTGGTCCCTCCCAACTTCTCTCCACTTCTAGCCTGATCGCCCACAACTGCCCTCCCCTGATGGCCAAATAGAGTACAGTCCTTGCCCATGAGGGAACTATTCATTTTTTTTTTTCCAATTCAACATTTGATGTATAAGGAAAATAACATTTTCAAGATAAACATCAATTTTTCTCTTTTTGTTGCTTTTTGTTAATCCTCGCTTAAGGATATTTTTCCATTGACTTTTAGAGACAGTGAAAGGGAGGGGGAGAGAAACATCGATGTGAGAAAGACACATCAATTTCTTGCCTCCTGCACATGCCCCAACTACAACCAAGGAATGTGCCTTTGACTGGAATCGAACCTGGGACCACTTGGGGGCAGCCATCTTGTGTGTTGGAGTGATGGTCAATTTGCATATTACCTTTTTATTAGATAGGATTACCCCAAACTCTGTGCAAAGGGAAGGAACATAAAGCCTGTAGGGTGATTAGAGTTTTATTAAGTTACTTACTAATCACTCAAAAATACTTATTTAAAAAAAACCCCAAAATCAATGACCAAAATGGGGTATTATATTTGTTAGCAGTATTCTATGGGCCTTTGATTTCCTGGATGTTTTGCCAGAATGAGGACAAAAGTCTCAAAAAAGTTTTCAGAAGAAAACATAAGGTCAGAGGCATATGAATTAGGGAGTAAACTACTGTTAGGTGTAAGGTTCTCTTCCCATCTCAATTGTAGAACAGCTGACCTTAGATAATTTCTGTCTAAAACTCTTTCAAAAGGGGATCATTAATTAGCAGCTGGTTATTTTTTTAAGGAAAAGGAGTCCAATAGTACTTTTTGAAAGGACTGAATATGTCAGAAATCTACGTAGCCCAGAAAGGACTCTGGGCCTTCTGAGAGGGGTACATGCCATAAGTGTAAGTGAATGTGACTCAGAGAGATGGTTTCATCATCTGCAACTATCAGAAATATTCACACTGGGCTCATCTCACAAGACTAAGAAACTATGTGCCATAAACAACTTCCTTCCTTCTATCTAATCACCAAGGTCTAGACTGTTAATATCTAGATTGTAATAATTTACATAATAGGAATATATTTGCAGAAAGGCATCAGAGAAAGGCAGTAAAATTAAACAGAATAAATTAAAGTTGGTTTCTAAGCCCAGCTTTACTGGCAAGTGTAATATCTAGGTTACCTTATTTTCTGATAATGATCCCTCTCTATAAGCCCTTCTAAGTTTTAATAGTGTATCAGTAAAAATGAACAATGGCAATAAAAAGTTTTACCTTTGAATTTCTTACTTCTAAGGACAGATTCTGAGGAGCAGCACTGGGAACTGGACAGGCAAAAAAAAAAAAAGTTTTTAAGTAATACAAAGATATTTAGGAAATGATGGTTTTGAAGGCAATTCTTAAGTAAAACAGAGATATTTAGGAAATGATGTGAAAGCTTGGTTGCTTAAACAAATTGCTGTACCACTTTAGTTCCTCACATATTAGAACATAAGACAGGGGTATCTCAAAGTTTGTGGTCCACACACTCGCCAGAATTCCCCCCATTTGTAGTAACTAAAGCAAGCAAAGAGAATTCAAGTAATCCCTATTGGATTTTCTCTCTGCACACAAAATGCTGACTTTAGGTCTTCTCTCCTAATACATCTATGGAAACTTCTCTCGCCCATTCTCTGACATTTGGTGACTAGGTATATAACTCAGTGCCCATGTGCTATAGGCTTTGGAGGACAGTGACTATTCTTGCTCAATATTGTATCTTGTACAAAGTGCATTAGGCCTCAACCGTCAAAGTGTCTGGTGTAGGACTTAGGCACCTGTACTTTGAAAGATGTCCATGAATGGTTCCAATCATTTCCGTTAAGAACTTCTGACATAGCTGCAGAGGCCCCCAAGGTAGTTGTTGTTGCAGTGTCCTCCTCCTCCCCCTGCCTCTCTTCCTTTTCTTCTTCATCATCATCATCACAGCTAAGATTCGCTGTGTGCTCTTACATGGCAGGGACTTACTCCTTACAACAATCCCGCACTGGAGTTTCCATTATTATTCCCACTTTATAGATGAGGTTCAAATCTCTTGTCCACAGTTATTTATTTCAGCTAACATAGAAACCAAAATTTGTCTTACTCCCAAGTGCTGCCTTTAAGCACCATGCTCAAGCACATTCAGTTTCCTGACAGGCTTGTAGTCAGCATGCCAATCCACTTAGTTAAAATTGGCTCATGTGTAGATTTCAAAGCCTTCTCAACTTTTCCCCATCTTGACCAACTGGCTTATGCGGTTGGCTAACCAAACTATAGTTTGTATTTATTTTTACCAATTTACCTTGAAAAATATTAAGCATACTGAACACAATGGGAAGTATATGCCATATATATGAATGCAATATATAGGATGTCCCCCCCAAAAATAAATATACACTTTTGACATATTATTAATTCCAGTGGGTTAAATCTAAAAAGAAACATCAGTTAAACTGCCAGCTGTTAAAGTGTGTATACATTTTTTGGGACACTCTATATTCATTTCCTGAATTCACCAATTGTTAATGTTCGGTCACATCTTCTCTAGTTTTCACTGTATTTACACAAACATACTTATCTATCTACAGATTGTTGCTGAGTCATCTGAGAGATAGCTGCAGTCACATGAGACTTCACTTCTAAATACTAGGGTATGTGCTCCTAAATTCAGCCATTCTCCAACAAAACTATAATATAATGAACACTTTCAGAAAATTTAATCTTAACATAAAACATTATCTAATATACCTAAATAACATATCTAATACTTAATATTGCCTAGTAGTATACCTATTTAACATTATGTAAATGTATCAATAGTGCCCTTTATTTATTTTTACTCCTAGATCTAGGAACTAACAACAGATAACTATTTTATATTATTTCATGTGTCTTCTTTAATCTAGATTCTAGAATGAGTCTGTAACCATTTTTTCCTTTCATGAAATTAGTATTTTTTAAGAATCGAGGCAATTTTTTCTTCTCCAGAATTTTCCCCACTTTGAATGATTACTTGTTTCATCATGATCAGATTCAAGTGAAACATTTTTTACAGAGATACAACATAGGGGAGACCGTCATTGTGTCTTTCTCAATGCGTCGTAGCAGGACACAGATAAGGTCAGTTGTTTCCATTGTTGCTGATGTTATGTTTGACCATTTGATTAAAGGAGTAAAATTATAGCCTTTAAAATGTGCAAGTTTATATATAAAGGGTATATACATATACATGCATTTTTTAGAAAAAGATATTTTTGTAACACATTGGATTTAGGTGAGTTTCAGGAAACAATATTTATACTTACTAAGTACAATAAACTTATTTTCTGTTCTATTCTAAAATATATATATTTTTAAATACTGATTCTTGACCTACTCAATCTCTTTAGCAAGTTGTAGTTTGAAAAATACTGCTCTTCATAATGGGTATATGAATATATGTAACTTCCTTGGATCAGTCACAGGTAAGAAAGGACATTATCCTAAAACACTGTGGGATCAAAAGGACCTATTTGGATTGCTAAATAGACCAAGGCTTGCCTTTTCACAGTCCTTGAATAGTCCGTGTTATGAGTAAGAAATAGTAGTTACTTATACAAAAGCCCCTACTAAAAATAAAAACACTGAGAAGCTATTTGTTACCAGGCACTGCCATGTTCTATATCTCTTACTAAATCATTACAGCAACCCAATGAAGTTGGAATTGTTTATATTTTACATTAAAGAAACAATGTCACTATGAAAAATGGATATTGGGATTTGAACAGGATCTTCTTTTTTAAAAAAATCTTTATTGTTGAAAGTATTACATATGTCCCCATTTTACTGATTTTTTACAAAGAGGATGGGAAAGGGATAGAGAGTTAGAAACATTGATGAGAGAGAAGAATCGATCAGCTGCCTATTGCACACTCCCCACTGGGGATGTGCCCACAACCAAGATACATGCCCTTGACAGGAATTGAACCTGGGACCCTTCAGTCCGCAGGCCGATGCTCTATCCACTGAGCCAAACAGGTTAGGGCTGTACAGGATCTTCTTGACATCAAAGCCTATGATCTTACTACTATGTTACCAGGGTCTCCAAGCACAGTATTCTGTTCCAAAGGAAGAAAGACTCACCATCTGACAATGTTTGAAAAGCAACATCTTGTGTGGAGACTCCAGGACCATGTTTATTGTAGGCCACCACTCGGAAACTATACTCTGTATATTTTTTCAACCCATTAATGGTATGGGAGTGACTTGAAACATCAACATCCTTCAATAAAATGCAAATAATTTATATATACACAACTCACATAAAAAAATGTTACAAAAAAGAATGAACTATACTGATTTTTATCCTTTATACAGAATATTATTTAACAGTCAAAGCAAGTTAACCATAAACACTGGCAATTTACTAAGGAATACTGCTTGGTCTTTAGTGATCCTTGCTGGTAAAATCTACAGAATAAATCTTTGCACAAAGAAACAGAAACTGTCAACTTTCATTTCCTATCCTTTTTTTTTATTTTTATTTTTTTATAAAGTTTCAGATTTCTAGAAAGCATTAAGCAAGCATTAAGTTTTGGAAATATAGTTCAACTCTAGCACTGCAATCAGTGGACTGAAAACTGGCTTCATATAATCATCATGTATAGTAGCAGATGGGTATTAGATCTTATCAGGGTTATCACTTCATCCTATATAATAAAAGCCTAATATGCTAAGTGTCCGACTGTTCAATCAGTCATTATGATGCACACTGACCATCAGGGGGCAAATGCTCCGACTGGTAGGTTAACTTGCTGCTGGGGTCCGGCCAATCAGGACTGGCTGGAAACGCCCTGGAGCCCTCCTGCATCCCCTCCCTGGCCCCAAGTGTATACTGTGTGGTCCCTCGGCCTGGCCTGCACCCTCTCACAATCTTTATTTATGTGAGATATATAAATGTCTAATCACTATGTTGTACACCTGAAAATAATGTTTATCAACTGAAACTTAAAAAATGGCTTTATCTTATACCTGTTCTTTGTCAGTCCCTTTTTCCATGTAGTACAATTTGTAATTCTGAATTTCCCCATTGCCAGACAATGGTGTTTCCCAGGTGACAGTGATGGAAGTTGGGGAAGTTGCATATGCTCGGATATTAGGTGCTGGGCCAGGGAGCTGAACTGGAAAGAAAATTTCAAGAGAGCAAGATATAAATGATATTTATTGTATCCCTCAATAACCATTCTCAGCAATCATATCATAACTTGAGGCCCGATGCATGAAATTTGTGCAAAGGGTTTGGCCCCCATCGTTGTGGCAGCTGCCTCTGCCTCGGACCCCACCCACTGCGGTTTCTTTTGGAAGGAAGGACATCCAGTCTAATTAGTATATGATACTTTTATTATTATAGATGGCCATGTTTAAAAAACACACACACACACACACACACACAAAAAAAACACACACAAAAAAAACCCAACTACGATAACAATTGATTTTATTGATGTGGTTTTAGGATAATATATAATTAAACAAATTTACCTTTTTATGATTTAAATTAAAACCACATTTTATCTGTAAAAAATCTCCAATTTATTAAAAGAAAAAAAAAAGAACACTGCAGAATTCTTTTTAGATTATAAACTCCTAGTTTGGCAGTGGGATAGCAGCACATATAAAGCCACCATCACAAAACAAGAACCTTCCTTTCCAGTGGTGGGGATATAGGGAGGAGCAGAGTCTCTGTCCCAAAGAATTCCCAGTGTAGAGGGAAGTCAGATTCATAAATAGTTACAAATAATGTCATAAGTACAATGAAGTAGCAAATGTAACAAACACAAAAAGAGAGCACACAATTCTGCTTTGGGTGTGTGTGGGTAAGAAAGAAAAAGATTAGTGACTACTTCTGGGAAGCAAGAAAAATGAGTAGTTTTATCAGATACCAAGGGGAAAACTATTACAGTAAATGGGCAATGTGAGAAGGCAGTGTTAGGTGGTCAGGATGAAACAGAGAGTAGATATGGGAGAGAAAACAGAGAAAAGGATGACACGAGCCAGATAATGAAGGACCTTTAATGCCCTGCCATGGACTTTGGATTATCTCTTATAGGTGTTAGATAATTACTGAAAAATTATGAGCAGAACATGACATAACTGGATCGGATATATGTTTAGAAAGGACACGTAAGCACACACATGGAAGAAAAATGGTTACGGGAACAAGACTAAAGATAAAACAGTAATTTAACAAAAAGCTACCTTATATTAAACTAGAGGCCCGGTGCATGAAATTCTTGCATGGGAGTTGGGGGATCCCCCTCAGCCCAGTTTGCACCCTCTCCAATCTGGAACCCCTTGAGGGATGTCCAACTAGCCCGTTTAAACCGGCAGTGGGACATCCCTCTCACAATCCAGGACTGCTGGCTCCCAACTGCTCACCTACTTCCCTTCCTGATTACCCCCAACCACTTCTGCCTGCCAGCCTGATCTCCCCCTAACCATTCCCGTGCCAACCTGATCTGTATCTAACTGCTCCCCTGCCAGCCTATTTACCCCTAACTGCCCTCCCCTACAGGCCTGGTCACCCCTAACTGCCCTCCCCTGAAGGGTTGATCGCCTCCAACTGCCCTCCCTTGCAGGCCTGGTCTCTCTCAACTGCCCTCCCTTGCAGGCCTCGTGCCTCGCAACTGCCCTACCCTGCTGGCCATCTTGTGGTGGCCATCTTGTGTCCACATGGGGGCAGCTATTGTGTGTTGGAGTGATGGTCAATCTGCATATTACTCTTTAATTAGATAGGATAGAGGCTTGGTGCATGGGTGGGGGCCAGCTGGTTTGCCCTGAAGGGTGACCAGGATCAGGGTGGGGGTTTCCTTGGAGCATGGAGTGGCTTGGGCAAGGGGCTTGTGGTGGTTTGCAGGCCAGCTACACCTGGCAACCCAAGCGGAGACCCTGGTATCTGGAACTTATTTACCTTCTACAATTGAAACTTTGTAGCCTGGAGCGGAGCCAAGCCCCCTGCTTGCTTGTGGCTCCCAACATTTCTGTTTCGATTTGTTTATCTTCTATAATTGAAATTCTGTAGTCTGGAGTGGAGGCCTCAGCCAGCCAGGGCTGCAGAATCTTGTCTTCCTCTATTGCCGGGGAAACCCAAGCCTCTCTCCTTGCTCTCTGTGGCTTCAGCCATCTTGGTTGGAGTTAATTTACATACTCACTGATTGGCTGGTGGGCGTGGTTTGTGGGTGTATCAGAGTGGTGTTAATTTGCATATTACTCTTTTATTAGGTAGGATGCCTGCAGTCAGTTTAGCACTGAGTGCTTTACATGTATTTAAATTATATCTATTTAATCTTTGGGCCAACTAAATGGCATGGATATGATTATCATCTGTATTTATAAAGGAGGTTGAGAAGTTAAGAATGGTTGGGAAGTTAGTTAGAGCCAGGAATTGAGCACTTTCTGATTCTAAAACATGGGCTCAAGAAGACCAGTTAAAAGATTAGTACAACCCCCCTCCTTAGGACATATGTGACTGGAAGATTCAATGATTGGTCGATTGGTTAACTGTCCAGCTCTAACTCCTACAACAGCTCACAAAGTTTTGTAAGATATTCTATTTGTCTGACTGACAGGTTCCAGCCTCCATTTATACACAAATCCTGGATGGTTGCCTATTCCTAACTTTGCTGGACAATATATTTGAAAACAACTTCTATGATGCTAGTGTTTCAGTAAGACACCCATTAGATTTAAGAGAAGCAAGGGAAGGAGGGATGATTAACTAAGTATAAAACAAACTGTCTTTCTTAAATAACAGCACCACAGCTTAAGATTAGTTCTGCTACCAAAGTAAAAAACCTGAATATGGTTATTCTAACAGTTGCTTACTTTTTTAGTAAAGAGTCTTGCTTTTCACATAATGTTAAAAGCATATTTTGTGCAGCTTTACAAGTGGGATTTGTCACACTTCTGATGATACGAAAAACTTTCCTCTAACGTATTTAAGAAGAAGGAGAACAACAGTCCCCCAATTCCCATCAAATAATTTTCAGTATATTCATTGGCTAACCTAAATATAGGCAAATATGATCCTAAAAAGTGTGCTAATAAATGCTTCCATTTCAGCTATCCAGTGGCATAATAAATAGAAAAAAATTAAGTTTGTGAAGCTAAATATGTAAAATATTTCTCAAGGGCTGACTCCACACAGCCCTTATGCCTCCCACACAGGCTGATTACCTCCAGATGAAGTACAAACTACTCTCCACTAAAACCTTCTCTTTTGTGAAAGCATGTGATAGTCACTCTTCATCCCTAAAACACCCTCACCAGAATCTGTTGCCCCTCTCATCTGTAGTCTTTTTTACTACTTTCTTTTAACCAAACTCCTTAAATAAATGACTGTGATGCAAGCATATCATGTTACTGTCTGGAACCAGACTGTAAACTTCTTGTGGATTGAAGTCCAGTCTTTCTCAACTTCATATCTTGACTCATCTTTACATCAGTGACTGACACATGATAGGCACTTAAAACATCTACTGTCCCATACATCTTTTCTTTCATCTCTAAATTAACAATGACCCTCTGGTCTAGTGGATCTCAACAGTTTGACTCATAAGTCCTTAAATAACAATGAAAGCCACAGGCTCTTTCCCAAGGAAAATGTGACTTTGTACAGACATACAAATACTTTCATGTATTTTTAGAAGGTTCATAGCCCTAGGGAACTCTTGCATTCAGTCAAATCCAGTGGTCTTTTCCTTTATTTTCATCGTGATGTACCTTCCATGTGTAGTTTGATCCTACTAGGGGAATTTAGGTCATGCAGTTTTTCCCCAAGAATGCTTGCTTTAAATCAAATGTTTCAATGACAACACTCATCTTTTCCTAGGAACCTGCCTTAATATACCTAACTTTACAGTAATTGTTCCTTGTTTTGTACCCAAGTATCTCTCATAAATTATACCTGTACTTGAAGGAGGAAAATTGAGCTTGAAATCTAATAGACTATTCCTGCTCTTAACTGGACACAGTAACTGTAAAACTCAAATCCTTTCCCTGAATCGATAGCACATTCTTTCCTTAAATCAACCTGCTGACTCTCTGATGGCCCTCTTGTTCTTGCCTGTGTTTGACTCCTTGTTTTCAGCTCTATCACTGAAGTGATCAGTGGCCTCCCAAATTGATTGCTCGTTTTTAAAAGGAAACTTCCTATCCTGTGCTCCCTGAATCTCTAATACCTGTGTAGGACCTGGAATGGGGATGCTCAATGAACACTGGATGAGGAAATGATGTGCTCCAGCATTAAGAAGTGACATTCCACATAGCCTTTGAACTTTGCTTATTCCATCCATCAAATCAGGAGAAATCTTTGAATTATTTCCAGAGATTCACTGGCAAATTCATTAAATCTTTTTCGTTTCCTGGTCAGTAGCTTCCACAAATGTTTTACAACTAAGTTACTCATAGATGAAGTAAAATCTTTGTTACTGGAAGTTTGCTCATTTGAGAAATTAGTGCAGTTAATAGTTAAAGAAAACTGGAGAAGGCTATCATGAAAAATTGGCTTGTGCTAAAAGAAGAAAATGTGTGGAAGAAAACCTCATGGGAAAAGCATCCATTATGGTTTCATTGCTTCTTATAATTTCAGGGCAATAGTTTACAATAAAAATTTAAGACATACAGACATTTATAAAATAAATCAACATGACTCTCATTTTAGTTGCAGAAAATCTTGAGAAATGTAATCGGAAGTAACAGTATCTAGCACAAAGACCACAGGTCCAAAATAAAGCCTTAAAGAGATTGCAAAGGGTGTAGTATACATAAAGATCAGGACAATCCAAGTGATAACAAATATTAAATACCTACTTTAAACTCCGGGAAATATAAAGTTGAAAAAGAACCTGTCTTTGCCATAAAATAAATGAGATATGGCCCTTGCCATTGTGGCTGATTTGTTTGGGTATTGTCCTGTGTACTGAAAGGTTGCCAGCTCAATTCCCAGTTAGGACACAAGCCTGGGTTGCAAGTTTTGATCCCTTGTAGGAATTATTCAGGAGGCAGCCAACTAATGGTTCCCTTTGGCATCAATGTTTCCTTCTTTTTCCCTTTCCCTTCCTCTCTCCTTAAAAATCAATTTTAAAAAATCTTACAAAAAATGATAGATATTCATAATCACAATTCAAGAAAGAAAGTAATACTGTATCTTAGAATTATAAAAATATATCAGAATCAGAGGAAAGATCATAAAAGCCATTGAGTTAGGTCTTAACTAGTAAAATTTGAGACTGTATCAGAATTACATTGTCTTACACTATTAGCTTGATGTGAATTAATTTTATCTCTCCTAACTAATTTATAAAATCCTTAAAGGCAACGGACTATTATCTTTAACACTCCTATGGTGTTCAAGGCTATACATAAGGTAGACCTTCAGATAGGTCTACCTACAAGTGGGGGTGACAGACAGGTGGAAACTTACCCTCAGGTTGTGTTTCTACTCGAAGAGGAGCTGAACTCTCTCCGGAGCCATGCTTATTATGAGCCATCACTCTAAAGATGTACACAGTCGCTGGCATTAGATTTTGAATGGTTACCTGCATTTCTCCTGGGTAACTGGTATTCTCAACACGTTCCCTTTGAACAAAATTATTCAGAAAGAAACAGTATTGATTAGGAATATTTATAAAATTTGCAGTTTCATATTCAATGCAATGACTATAGATAGATACCATACTACATCAATATCTCATCAATTTAAGTCAAATTAATTCTCAAAAGAGGAAACTTTCGGGGATGGAACAGTGCACAGCAGAACAGGAGAACTTGCAAAGAGCAATCTCATAAATGTTTGGTAACTTATTGACATTCTTATTTAAACATTACTGATATAGCTTCTTTGCAGAGAAGACATAGACAATGTTTTCTCAATATCATTTCAAATAAGACAGCTGGTCATCAATTTTGTAGGCTTCAGAAATTATTGAATTGTAAGGGGTGATTCTCAGGGAGACAAACAGAAAGAGATATGTATGACCCAATTTCCACAGAAAATATCAAGGGATGTTATATGTATTTTTGATAGCGGATTATCAATAAAAGGAAAACTAGAGATATCACTTTTAAAATTGGGAAGAAAACATTAAAAATTTAATGAACCTTCAAGTATTCTAATCTATAAAATGAGCTAATCATGATTGGTTTGTTTTTTTTTAATTGTCCAAATTTTTACATATGTATCCTTTTTCTCCAATTAACTCCAATTCCCTCCCCAAGCCATTCCCGTCCAGGCAAGCACCCACTGCCCCAATGTCTGTGTTCATTGGTTATGCTAATATGTATGCACACAAGTCCTTTGGTTTCTCTCTAACCCCCTTTCTCCTACCAATTGTCTCTGGATCAATTCTTGTCCGTCAAATTATGTTGATCATTATATCCCACATACGAGTGAGATCATGTGATATTTATCTTTTTCCGACTGGCTCATTTCGCTTAGCATAATGCTCTCCAGTTCCATCCATGCTGTTGCAAATGGTAAAAGTTCCTTCTTTTTTATAGCAGCACAGTATTCCATTGTGTAGATGTACCACAGTTTTTTAATCCACACATCTGCTGATGGGCACTTAAGCTGTTCCCAAATTTTAGCTATTGTAAATTGTGCTATGAACAATGGGGTGCATACATCCTTTTTGATTGGTGTTATTGGTTTCTTGGGATTTAGTCCTAAAACTAGGATTACTGGGTCAAATGGGAGTTACATTTATAACTTTTAAAAATATATATTTTCTTGATTTTTTTACAGAGAGGAAGAGTGAGGAATAGAGAGTTAGAAACATCAATGAAGAGAGAATCATTGATCAGCTGCCTCTTGTACACCCACTACTGGGGATGTGCCCGCAACCAAGGTACATGACCTTGACTGGAATCAAACCTGGGACCTTTCAGTCTGCAGACCGACGTTCTACCACCGAGCCAAATCTGTTTCGGCCATTTTTAACTTTTTGAGGAAACTCCATAATGTCTTCCATAGTGGCTGCACCAGTCTTCATTCCCACTAATAGTGCACAAGGGTTCCTTTTACTCCATATCCTTGCCAGCACTTGTCATTTGTTGATGATAGCTATTCTGACAAGTGTGAGATGGTATCTCATTGTTGTTTTGATTTGTATCTCTCAGATGATTAGTGACTTTGAGCATGTTATGTCTCTCAGTCTTTTGTATGTCCTTTCTTTCTTTCTTTTTTTTTTTTTTAAATATATTTTATTGATTTTGTACAGAGAGGAAGGGAGAGAGATAGAGAGTTAGAAACATCGATGAGAGAGAGTCATCAATCAGCTGCCTCTTGCACACCCCCTACTGGGGATATGCCCGCAACCAAGGTACATGCCCTTGACCGGAATCAAACCCAGGTCCTTCAGTCCCCAAGCCGACACTCTATCCATTGAGCCAAACCAGTCTCAGCTGTATGTCCTTTCAAAAAGTGTTTATTTAGATCTTTTGCCCATTTTTGAATTGGATTGTTTATCTTCCTTTTGTTAAGTTTTATGAGTTATCTATAAATTTTGGAGATTAAGCACTTATCAGAAATATCATTGGCAAATAGGTTCTCCCATGCAGTGGGCTTTCTTGTTGTTTTGTTGATGGTTTCTTTTGCTGTGCAGAAGCTTTTTATTTTGATGTAGTCCCATTTGTATATTTTCTCCTTAGTCCCCATTGCCCTAGGAGCTGTGTCTGTATAGATGTTGCTACAACATATGTTTGCTATTTGCTGCCTATAGAGTCTTGTAGGATTTTTATGGTTTCCCATCTTACAATTAAGTACTTTAGCCATTTTGAGTTTGTTTTTGTATATGGTGTAAATTGGTGATCTAGTTTCATTTTTTTGCATGTATCTGACCAAATTTCCAAGCACCATATACTGAAAAGACTGTCTTTATGTCATTGTATGCTCTCGCCTCTTTGTCAAATATTAATTGAGCATAATGGCTTGGGTCGCTTTCTGAGTTTTCTGTTCTGTTCCATTGGTTTAAATGTCTGTTCTTGTGTCAGTACCAGGCAGTTTTTAGAAATGTGACTTGGTAATAGAGCTTGATACCTGGTATTATGATCCCTCTGACTTAGTTTTTTTTTTTCAGGATTGCTGAGGCTATACTTGGTCTTTTTTTTTTAATTTTTTTTTTTTTTTTTATTCTGGATGAAGTTTTGGAGTTTGTTCTAGATCTTTGAAACGTGCCATTGGTATTTTAATGGGGATTGCATTGAATATGTAGATTGCTTTGGGTAATATGGACATTTAAATGATGTTGATTCTACCAATCCATACACATACTGTGTTATTCCATTTATTTATGTCTTCCTCTATCTCTTTTTTCAGTGTCCTGTAGTTTTCTGAGGTCTTTTATATCCTTATTACTAGGTACCTGAGTATTTTTTTTTTTAATTTTTGTTTTGTTTTTTTGTTTAATGATGAATGGGATAGTTTTATGTGTTTGTTCGATTCTCTTTCTGTGAGTTCATTATTGGTGCATAAAAAAGGCCATAGATTTCTGGGTGTTAATTTTGTATCCTCCTACATTGCCAAATTAATTTATTAGGTCTAGTATCATGTCACCTGTGAAAGAGGAGAGTTTTACTTCTTCTTTTCCAATTTGGATGTCTTTTATTTCTTCTTCTTGTCCTATAGTTTTGGTTAGAATTTCCAATAATATATCGAACAGGAGTGGTTAAAGTGGGTATCCCTGTTTTGTTCCTGTTCTTAGGGCAAATGAGTTTAGTTTTTGCCCATTGGATATAATATTGGCTGTAGGTTTGCATGTAAGACTTTTATGTTGAGATATGACTCCTCTATTCCCAATTTGCTAAGAGTTTTTATCAAGAAAGGGTGCTGGATTTTGCCAAATAGATTTTCTACATAGATTGATGATGATTTTTGTCTTGTTTATGTGATGTATCACATTTATTGATTTGTGGATATTGTACCATCCTTGCATCCCCAGAATAAATCCAACTTGATTATGTTGTATGATCTTTCTAGTGTAATGCTGAATCTGATTTGCTAGAATTTTGTTGAGGATTTTAGCATCTATGTTCACTAAGAATATTGGTCCATAGTTCTCTTTTTTTGTGGTATGTTTATCTGGTTTTGGGATTAGGATAATGCTGGCTTCATAGAAAGCGCTTGGAAGTGTGCTTTCTTCTTTAATTTTTTTGGAATAGTCTGATGAGGATAGGTTTTAGTTCTTCTTTGAATGCTTGGTAGAACTCCCCCTGTAAAGCTATCTGGACAGGGCTTTTGTATGCGGGAAGATTTTTGATCACAGTTTCAATTTCTCCCATAATTATTGGTCTATTCAGTTGTTCTTATTTTTATTATTCCTCATTGAGTTTTGGGAGCATGTATTTTTCTAAGAATATGTCCATTTTGTCTAGGTTCCATTTGTTGGAGTAGAGTTGCTCATAGTATTTTTTTAAAAAAATCATTGTATTTCTGTGGGATTGGTCATTACTTCACCTCTTTCATTTTCTGATTTTGTTTTTTTTGGGTCCTCCTTCTTTTCTTCTTGATGAGCCTGACTAGAGGTTCATCAATCTTGTTTATCCTTTTAAATAACCAGCTCTTGGTTTTGATTTTTTTTTTTTTTTTTGCTTCTATATTGTTTATCTCTGCTATGACCTTTATTATTTACTTCCTTGTTGCTCTCTTTCTAGCTCTTTGAGTTGTAGGGTTAGATAATTTATTACCAATTTTTCTTTCTTTCTTTCTTTCTTTTTTTTTTTTTGAGATAGATTTGTAGAGCTATGAACTTCCCTCTCAAAACTGCTTTCACTGTGTCCCATAGATTGTTGTGTTTTCATTGTTATTTGTTACCATGATGTTTTTTATTTGTTCTTTGATTTCTTTGGTAACCCCATCATTGTTCAATAGCATGCTATTATATTTAGCCCCCATGTATTCAATTTTTTTTTATTTTTATTGTAGTTGATTTCTAGCTTTATGCCATTGTGGTCTATCTTTGAAAATGACCCAGGTGCATTTGAAAAGTATGTATATTCTGTGGCACTGGTGTTAAGTGTTCTGAAGATGTCAATTAATTCCATCTGATCTAGTGAATAATTTAGGATTGATGTTTCTTGTTGATTTTTTTGTTTAGAAGATTTATCCAGTGGTGTTAATGGGGTATTAAAGTCCCCTACTATGACTGTATTGCTGTCAATCTTTCCCTTGACATCCTCCAGAAGTTTTTGTTTTGTTTTTTTAAATGTACCTGGTGCTCCTGTATTGGGTGCATATATGTTTAACAGTTTTATCTTCTTTTTGAATTGCTCCTTTTAGAATTATGAAGTGGCCTTCATTTTCACTTGCTATGGCTTTCACTTTCAGATCTAATTCATCAGGCGTAAGTATTGCTATCCATGCTTTTTGTTTTCATTTCCCTTTGCCATTTCCATTTTCTCATCCCTTCACCGTCAGTCTGTGTGAGTCTTTTGTTCTGAAGTGGGTTTCCTGTGGACAGCAGATATATGGGTCATGTTTTCTTATCCACTCAGCTACCCTATGTCTTTCGATTGGGGCATTTAATCCATTTACATTTAAAGTTATTATTGGTAGGTACTTGTTTATTACCATTTTTATTCCT